AGGGATCCAACCAGTTTCTTCACACGTTTCCCCTCTTCCATGGCTTTCTCTGCTTTGGACTGGCCATCAAGTGGTATCAGAAGATGCTTGCGCATCTTCGCGTCCAACGCCAAAAACGCGTCAGCCAAATAAAACCCACTGGGGACCTAAGTGGAACTGGGCGGAAACCCTGAATGAGCCCAATGGGAACAACCGCTCTATACAACAAACACTACAGCAACTACCCGCTCTCCACAGAACATGTTCTGAACCCTGTCGTTTCAACATCTTTCTTTTCAAAATGAAATACCAAGAAACTTTTTCTGGGTTTTCTGCGCAAACAGGCTGAAGCCAGTTGTAATTGTGGCTGATTTCCTGCAAATTTGCCGTTGGAACACCAGCGAAGAAAACAAGTCAACCAAACACATTGTTGATAAAAACATGTTCATGACCGTGTTCCTCAGATCCAGGGGTGCTAATTTCCGAGTGCAAGTTCACAAGTCGGCACCCAGGCGGCAAGCGATTGTTCATAATCAACTCCATTGGTGCTGCTGGAAGTAGCGCATGCCATTGCTCTGCCAAACGAACCTCAGCACCGCGATGCAAACACTTCGCAACCAACCCCTTAGCGCAGCATGTTTGTCACTTGTCACTTGAACCCTCACCCAAGTAATGCATCTTTAAGCATGCGTAAACATATTACTTAGAAATCAGCAAGACGCCATCCCCTTCCAGTCAAGCAACCACCTGCTCTTCTGTCCAATTGATCTTGCCAGGTCCTCAGCGACGAGACCCGGCATCCCCATATAGCCTGCCCTGCCCCCCGCTCCCTGCCAGAAAATATGAAAAGGTTTGTCCAGGGCTGGCCTGGTGAAGAAACAGCAACAAGGAGAAAAAACATGAAACTTACTTTCCACCAAGCGCTATCTAGACACTCACAGACTTCCATGGCTGGATGTTGTCTTCCATCAAGGGCGGGCCGGCCAGAGCCATGGCACAGCACTTATTCGATGCCGCGGCAACCCAACACTAGTGCAAAAATTGCGCTGGCAAACAGAAATGAATGAGTAAACGGTGAAGCCGGATCGATCCTTCTTTTTTTAATGGTCAACCCCCAAAAGTTGGAGAGAGTTCACGGAAAACCCCGAACGCTGTCAGCTTTCCTGCATTTTAGTATATACATACCCATAATCAACCCCAAGTGCATCCCTGATGCAGGAGTTTAATGCCGAGAGGTGTTTCAGAACACTGGGTTCCACCGCCTAAAGAATCTGAAAGCACGTGGAAAAATATTCCAGCCAATTCTGTCGTGTAAAAAAAAGCAACCCTTGAGAAGATTGCCAAATCAAAAAGTCAACAAACTCTACCATTTGGCGTCGATATTTCCCATTCATCTATAGTGATATTGGTGGCAATTTATCATTATTTTTTTCACATTATAGTAGAATCGGGGTAGTTCACTCTTACCTCTTGTTATGGGTTACCAAATGCTACAAACATGTTTCCGAAATCAGCAGAACGCGTCGAAAATAGTTTCACTGTGCCGGTCTCACCTTGCCACCAAAAGAGACAAGGCATTGTTTCACAGCCCAAAAGCCGCGCTGGGCAGAACGATCGTTGAAGGCTGGTGATTGAAAATCATGGGTTCGTGTTTTCCTTGCGCACGTATATAAGCCACATCTGTAGGAAAAAAAAGTTAATACTTGCACATTGGTGTTCTCCCAAGCGCATTGGTCCAGAAATTGTTTCCAGCGCTCTCGCGAGCAAAAGATAGGTACCATCACACAAAAAACACGCAACTCGCAGGCATAGAAAGCTAAGATGCAAAGTCCCTAAATTCACACGAGAGGTTCCCAACCCTGTACCAAAAAAAATATTTATAACTTATCACACGTTCCCAAGAATATGCATTGCTAACACCTAAAACTATGTTCACTGCCTAAATAAAAGGACATAGATAGAATTGGGCATACAAGAAGCCACGCGTTTGTATACAAACGGGGCTCTTTTTTTTTTTTCTTCTCTATCGCGCTGTCTGTCTGGGCACGCACGGACCCGAACCTCATGGCTCAAAGGATCGCAAAGTCGGGCTATACATAGGGAAGGAGAAGGTGCCCCCAAAAAGGGCCTCAGCCTAGCAAACAAGGATGTTCTAGGACGCGCCTTTTTTCCACCACAAGGAGCTTACATGTAAACACCTTCGCAAGCAGCCATGTGCCACATACATGGCAGTAGAGGTGTGCTGGTAACTTTTAACCTAGCCCAGTGCTTGTCAGCAGCAATGCGCATGAGTACTTTGAACCAACTTTGGCTTTGCTGTTGCAGCTTGTAGTGTTGGAAGGCAGCTATACCGATGCATACATGAGCAACCGTGCATCCAATTATGGCCCTGCTGCGCAAGCAGATGAAATCATGTGATAGAGGGCCCCAAATACAAATAACAGCTGGGGTCGTGGTTTGCAGAACAGACGCCCAAAGGACATCTGAGGAGCCTCACGGCAGGGTGCTACGTGTTCCGGAGGATCCATGGGGTTTGCCCTCGCTGCGACTGAAGGAGCTGAGACAGATCCGAGTTGGGAATGACCTCATGGGTTTCATCTTGGAGGCTGTTGTCATGCTCTATTGCGTTGGTGGAGTTGCGGCCCTAGAACATCCAGCTGCGCCGGTTTCTGAGAGCTCTGTTTCTATTTGGAGAACACCGATTTTAGCTTTGCTTTCGTCTCTCCCTGGTATTGATCATGTTTCTTTAGCTCAGGGTCTTTGGGGTGCCAAATCTCCCAAGCCTACTTCCTTTTTGGTTGTCAATATTTGTCAATGCACCAGAGATGAGACAAGCATTGCGAAGCTGGCAAATTGCCCGGGAGTTACCAAAGGGTATCTCTATCGGAAGGGATCAAGCTGGAGGCTGGTCCACAGCAGTTTTGAAAGAGTATCCTGAGGGCCTCTTAACAGCCATTGGGCAATGTGAATCTGACCCGACTCACACTGTCCCGCAGAACTTTGTGGAGCGATGTGCCCCCATGATGTGTGCAGAGTATGGGGAGTCCATTGTCCAGACTTCGCAGGCTGAGCATGCTTGGTGAGACTGTTTTCCTATTTGGCATGGATGTGTTGTTGTTTGGTTTGTTTTTATTGACTGTTTGTTGACTCATGTCATTCAAGCCCTGTCAGCTGCAGCTGCACGGTAGAGCCGGCAGCACTGAATTGAAGTGCAGGCCGCAGTCCGCAGCGTCGAGTTACGCATCTGTGAGCCCGAGCCAAAAAAAATATATGTATATAATGTCATATCGTAATATTACGGCCAGGCGCTGCGTGTTGCCCGGAAAGTTCACATGGCATTTAAGCATTATCCCTCAACATGCTCAAACACCTGCGCAGGGCCAGTGTTTTAAGATTTCCCAGACGACGAGCCCTAAACCCTAAATTCTAAACCCAAAAACCCTAAAACCTAAAACCCTAAAAGTCTAGCTGAGGGCTCGCTACCACCACGTGAGAGCCCGAAGCTGTCCGAGCGCTCAGCGAGCGACTTGAGAGCACCTGTGCGTGCAGCCCAGGTTAAGCTGGGGCTGCTGAACGCCATGGCAAGGCATGACGCTTGGCGCACGCCGTAAAGGCGGTCGAGCCTTTGAGTGTCAAAGGTATAAACCCTAAACCCAAGCACTTTGCTTGTGCCCCCCGGGGGGTCCCCCCTGGGGTTCCCAGAAGGCTGAACCAGCCTCGAACAACCCAAAACGGCCCAGAATGGCTTGAGACAAGCCCAAAACGGTCCAAAACGGCTTAAAACGGCTCCAAACCAGCCGAAAACGGTTCAAAACGGCTTAAAACGGTCCAGAACGGCGCAAAACGCACTTGCTGGTGACCCCCGGTGGGTCCCCCCTTGGGGTTCCCAGATGGCTGAACGAGCTTAGAATAGCCGAAAACGGCCCAGAACGGCTCCAAATCAGCTGAAAACGGTCCAAACCGGCCCAGAACGGCTCCAAGCCAGCCGCCTTTCGTGGGAGCCCCTATTTCTGCTCCAAAACGACCTCCTTGGAGATCCCGGGCTGCCAACACGACATTTCAAGGCTCAGAAACGCTAAACTGCGCTACAAATGTCGAAAAACGGCTTCCAGCTACGCGCAGCGACGCGTCTGACTGGGAACATTTTCCTTTGCGAACGGCTCCTGCCTCCCTGCCACAGAACTGTGGTGGTGGTCGGCGCTCCACCCTGTCTCTTACGTTGCAAAAGCTCTTCGACATTCCAATATTCTGATCTCATGCTGTCCTCATAACAATTACGCCGGTAGTAATACCAACCCAGATGCTATCATTGTAGCTCAGGGCAGGGAAGCACGCTTTTCCAAGCTTTGCCAAGTCAATTTCTGCTCCAAATCGAGCTTTCTGGTTAAACAATTTGCGGCCAACACTTGCTCTGCGCGCCGAATTGCGGCGCGCCCATCCCACCCGACCAAGGAGGGGTGGCCCCCAGACCGGCGGCTGGCATTCTGCTGGGGCTTGCTGTCAAGTAGATCTGGGCAGTTGCTGACCAGGGTAGGGACACATACGGCACGCCGCAGGTAGAAACAGGCCCGCGCCAGGTAAGAGCACCAAACAGACTTTAGGAACTAAACCCTAAAATCCTGTCTGCCGGGTGGCTTGGGGTGGGTGTACCGCCACGCGCGGCGCGCAAGTGAGTGGGCCCGTGAAAGAAGAATCTATAGGGCCCACCACGCGCGCCCAGAACGTTAGCACACCTTATACCCTAAACCCTAAACCCTGAAAACTTTGAATCCTAAACCAGAAAACTCTGTGTATATACAGTATTTTCTGCAATCTCTCCTATCTTATTCAACAACACGACATCCTCAATGTTAATGTCTGGGCAACACGTGGCGTCTGTGGGTAATATTGCTATATACAATTATATATATACATTATATTATATAGTAATACTATAGTATTATATATCCCATGATATTATGATAATCATGATATGTTTCTCCATCAGGAACTCAAACCCGGTATGCCTATTCCATGGCGAGGCCAGTATGAAGATGGTGATCCGCACCACCAGCGGGTCCAGCAAATCGGGCTTGGAAGCCGCTGAGTCGGTGCCTTGATATCTACATCCACTGGAATCCAAGCGGGGCAACAAAACTTATGGGCAATTTGGAATGTTAGTTATTAACAGAGAGAAGATGTTAACAGTTAGCCCCGTTCAAATTTTTTGGATGACCAGCAACATCTATTGTAGTGATGGCAAAAAGACCAAGGGCGCCCGAATTTCAAACCAATCAAGCGAGGGAAATCAGTCGTTGAGTGTCCCGCAGTTTTGCAAAAAATGCCACAAAAGTGCAGCGGATGGATCGTCAGTATTCATATGCAAAAATAAACCCATGTGACAATTCATGAAGGTCAGTACGTCAGTACCTCCCTTAGGCCTACGATTTGGCTCCCTAAGGCCGACGTCACAGATACATGATGATATTTACACTAGAAGGATATATTCATTGTATTCATATGTCAGAACATGATTTCGACAGACTCAAGTGGAGAGATGCTCATCGGGACTCAAGGTGTGTATCCAATGGATCATCCAATGGATCCATTGGATCAATCGTCTCCTGTACCTCTAGCGGTCCCAGTGGTCCCCAGTGGTCCCCAGTCCCCGGTCCCCACATCCATTGTCGGCCGCCCAGTGATCCAAAGTCAGTCCTGGGACCATGAAGGAACCCACAGGTAACCATTGGTATCCATTGGTACATATTGGTACCTTGGTGAACATGAAAACAGTGATCCAATAGCTGGTAAATGGATGTACATGGATCTCCATCTCCCTATCAGGGGAAAGTCATGGAAAATCTTCTTGGTCTTGACCGACCCACAAGGCTGCGCTGTCGGACTGGAATGGCAACTTCACAACTGTGAACAACGGAGACACCTTGAGTGGGGCACCCGAATAGATCCGGGGATGTTCCAAAAGATGCAGCTGTGATGAGTCTGACTACAATCTTCTTGGAATAACTCAATGATGAGCAGCACTAGAGACACAGAATCGATCATTCTTAGTATCAAACAATATCAAACAGTATCAAACAATATCAAACAATATCAAACAATATCAAACAATATCAAACAATATCAAACAATATCAAACAATCAAACATCATCAAATCATTTTTGTTTCCTGTGGACTGATTTCTTCCACTTGGCGCCTGAGGTCCCAACAACGCATACGAGATGGTCTTCGACACGACCTCGTGGGCCCTTCGGCTCAACCATGCTCAACTGCAATCGATCCCATGTTGGACCCATGGAAAAACATGGAAAAACATGGAAACTTGTGGAATATTGTGGAAACCAGAGAATCCCAGATTGCCTTGTTTTAGACCTTTTGGACCTGTTTAAAGCAATTCATTCCATTCATTCCACCAGTCATGGGTTATAGATGGTTATAGTTGTATAGGTTCCGGGACTTGCAGTCAGCCAAGAATATGCTACCCATACATGTTATTTCATTTTGTTATTGTGTATGATTGTGTGACTTTGGGGCGGGGATAAATATTGCTGCGAATGGCATGATATAGCTATGTCATGCTGTATCATGGCAATTATGCTACGGGGACAATTTTGTATTTTATTCTGTTATATTATGTTACAATCTAAAAATGAATGAATTGTTATATATATCTGTTAATATTTTATATTTTACAATCTATGAATCTTTGTCCTAGATTGTTTGGGATGGTTTGGGATGTTAGGTCACCATGTTCAAGATCAATGTCCCGCCAGAGACAGAGCTGGCGTTCTTCTGTGAGCACGTTCCATCAGCTTCTTGTTAGCGCCGTTAGGGTTTTTTCGGCGCTTTTTTTTAAACAAATACTTAGCGGATGATCGATCCCAGTCTAGTAAGGTGACAAACCACACAATCAAGCACTCTGTCTAGCACAATTTGTTTTGCCGGAAATGGGTGATACATTTGCCATCAGTGGTGGTTCGTCAGACCAGGTGACCCTCAGTCTCCAGGGTTAACCTGAAACTGAGTGGTCAATGGCCCAACAGACATTTCTTGGTGATGAATGACCGAAGTTAACCAAGACGGGGGTTCTTTCCCAGCTATCCTAACCAATTGAACTAGGGAGAGAGAATATCCCGGTATAACTTTTGATACGCTTTCCAGTTTCGTGAACTGAGTTTGAACATATATGTTTGATTTTGCTCCATGGAACATCCATGGACTATTTTTGCATATTTTTGCCGTGGTCAATAGATGGGGATGCTCATCATTCCACTAACTAACAAGGATTTATAATATATCGATATAGCCATTGGAAGGATTCCTATTATGGGATGGATCACCATAGACTTAGACCATAATAACCATGTTTTGACCATGCCACATGTAAGAAAGTGTCCTCACTCGAACAACGGTCCAATGGGGACTCCTTTGTTGTAGAAGTTCGTTTTTTTTTCCCGAGAGCGTCTGAGCGCAGGGTTCTTCCAATAGTGGGGGTCTGTAAAACATCTTCTCATCTTCACATCTTCTCATCTTCACATCTTCTCACATCTTCTCACATCTTCTCACATCTTCTCACATCTTCTCACATCTTCTCACATCTTCTCACATCTTCTCACATCTTCTCACATCTTCTCACATCTTCTCACACCTCTCACATCTTCTCACATCTTCTCACATCTTCTCACATCTTCTCACATCTTCTCACATCTCATCTCACATCTTCTCATCTCACATCTTCTCATCTTCACATTCTTCTCACATCTTCTCACATCTTCTCACATCTTCTCACATCTTCTCACATCTTCTCACATCTTCTCACACTCACATCTTCTCATCTTCACATCTTCTCATCTCACATCTTCTCCTCTTGCCCTCTTGCCCTCTTGCCCTCTCCTTCTTTTCTATTTCTCTTTTGAAGGCGGGAGCAGGGGCAGTGCCAACGAGACGGCAGGAAACGCAACCCTTTCGCACGAAATGAGGGTCGATCGTCAAAAACTGAGGTAAAATTGCGATTTTACTTGTGCCGGAGCAACCCTTTCGCACGAAATGAGGGTCGATCGTCAAAAACAGGAAAAATTGCGATTTTAGTTGTCCTGGAGCAACCCTTTCGCACGAAATGAGGGTCGATCGTCAAAAACTGAGGTAAAATTGCGATTTTACTTGTGCCGGAGCAACCCTTTCGCACGAAATGAGGAAAACTGAGGTAAAATTGCGATTTTACTTGTGCCGGAGCAACCCTTTCGCACGAAATGAGGGTCGATCGTCAAAAACTGCGGTAAAATTGCGATTTTACTTGTGCCGGA